GGTTATTAGGACAAAAATTAGATAATTAATTATATTTATGCATGATCGACAACTATCACTACGCATTTTTTTTTAATCCCTTTAGTTTTAGAGTTATTCCGATAAAACGAATTTGGTACTTTTAATGCGCAAAATTCAACATCTCCTGTCGCATGTCACGCGAACTTCATATATTTATATATTTGTTTCACAAATTTGGGCGGAGCCAACGTCAAAACTTTTTTGGCTTGCTCCTTCTTAAATGTTGTTATTAAATATAAAATTAAACCTTAGTAACATGATGAGGTGATATTACGAGCACGTCATCCCAGACATCTTACAAATGCTCTGATTAAACACTTTTTGCTCTCTTATATGTTATATTTGACTACTATCGTAAGTAATATTGGTTTGCTAATTGACGGTTTTACGGATTGTAACTCTTGGATTCACCAAATTTCAAAGTCCATGCTAAACTAATTAAGGTTTATTCATAACTCGCAATTTGAGCAATAGAAAGTCAATCCCTGGTTTGTGGAATATTCCGCCATTCGTGGAAGTTCGTTGTTGTTTCGCCTGTTTCGAAGAAATCAGGGGGAAGGGGTTTACAGACCTGACACCGGTAAGTCAGATTTTCGCATTTTCGAAAATTATATAAAAAGCCTTTAACTACCGCTTTTCTAGACGCACTAAATTTTTTAAGTCAACCAATTTGGTTTTAGGTGAAATTATCAACCTTAATGAGCGTGATTAGTGATAGCCTAACAGTTACTCATTTGGGTAAGTTTAAGCCTTACCCAAATGTAACTGAAACAATAAAATAAACTGTAACTCAAACTGAAATTAACTTTATTTCACATGTAAACAAATTATACTAGAAATCGTCACACTGATTAAACTTTAATTCTCAATAGTGAGGCAGATTCCCGTGAGAAGAATGAGTAACGCTCAATTTATATTGCGGTGGAACCTGTCATAATGATCTTTAAGGTCAATTGTGTAACATATAAACTAGATAGAAGCCAATATCTTCCGAGGAATGTGCGAGCGAGAATGTGCGAGCATTCTCGAGCATGCGCGAGAATTCCGCGGAAGATTTTGGCTATGCTGTGTGCAATATCGTTACAAAAATTCGCTTCCATTCCGTTCTGCCGCAATATAAAATGAGCATAAGAAACTCCAGAAGTTTCAGTTTGTAAATAAACATTTTGTATAGATTTATCATTTGTATAGTATCCAAAAGTTGTATAATAAATACTTTACCTGTATTTTTGTGTAATACCTGTACGGGTTTTTATTACCTTTTAGCTGTATGTAGTATACAGCTAAAAGGTAATAAAAAACCTTTAGTGTAAAGTATTTGTTTCAATACAGTTTTAAACCTCGTAAATGGCACATTTTTAATATCAACAGGAATCTTATAATAGCGTGTACATTGCCCCTTAAATTTTAATGAATTTGTTACTTTGTGAAGACTACTGTCGAGAAAAGCCAGTTTATTTTTGTTCCTCGTATTTAATGTTATGTTTGTCACTAATTTTTCATAAAAAGGTTACCATTCTTCTTGACATAAATTAAATGTTCATAAATGTACTAAGTACTATTGCCATTATCTGACTTCATACGCGTTTTGGTTGTGAGGTTAAGATAAGGAAGTTTTGGTCTGTCGATTGATGCGTGTAATAATTGGTTCATTTCATACACTTCTGGCCTCTGTCAAGTGAACAATGCATTAACTTTTGGGGAAAATTTATAACGGTTAGTGTCGTGGTAACGAGTTGCGATTCAAGGCTCAGTTTTTTGTCTGATTCTGAATGTGATGTAATGCCGATGAGATGCAACTGCACGTGCACATACGGGCTTGTACAGTGCAGGTGTGCGCTGCAGCTCCCGCTCTAGATTTTTTCCGAGATTTTTTGTAATACCAAGTGACGGGACGAACAAGTCGTGCACCTGGTGGTGAGCGACACGCCTGTCCATAGCAGTTGCAGTGCCACTCAGAGCTATTACGATTGTATACATCTGAGGGACACTGTCATTGCGTCCGTTAGCCTGAGATATAAGTTAACAACGCCCTTGTGCCTGTAATTTCAACCCTACCCTTCAAAACTGGATTGCTTAGCGGCAGCAATAGGTAAGGTGGCAGTACTTCCCTGGACGAACTCTTTCACAAGAAGCTCTATTGCTACTAAAAAAAGATCGTCGGTTGGTCGGTCGGGATATTTTTTTTATAATGTCAATTGACGGGACGAACAAGTCGTGCGCTTAATGGTAAACTAACACCTGTCCTAACAGTTGCAGTGCCACTCAGAGCTTTAAATTGCAAAGATCTGATGGGCACTGCCACTGCACCCGTCACCCTGAGACATAAGTTGACAAGTCCCATTTGCCTGTAATTTCACCAGCACCCTTACCCTTCAAAACCGGAACAAAGTAATGCTGATATTACTGCTTGGAGGTAGAAATAGATAAGGAGGCAGTACTTCCCTGAACGACCTCTTTCACAAGGAGCTCTATTGGCACGAAATCGGTACGAAACGATTTTGAACCAAAACTTAGAACTTAGAGTATTCCCGTGATTTGTGGTACTGAACGTAAAGTTAGTGTTACTACTAATTTTCAATCCTTCTATATTGATTGGTGACGCTGTTGTTCCGTTTAAAAATAGCGTAAGAAATCTTGACTTGAGGAACACGTGGACTGTAAATTGGTTAAATGTTCAGAGCCCTTAACTTAATTCATTATCACAAATAGTAGTTCATGTGACCGTTATATAATGAAATCACACTGTCGGCTCGTTTCATAATCCCACACACGTATTTTAATGTCTAATTATGTACCACTGATTAGGCAATTTTTCGCCATTTAGGCTACTTCGAGAGGTCATGCGGCGATTAAAAAAGTGGTCGGCTACTCGACGATATTTAGGTTATGTTTGAAAGAGAAACAGGCAATTTTAGGCTGCTGAATAAAATGTCTGGGGAGTTACAAACTAGGTTGGGGATTTTGTGGGGAATAGAGTTGTAAAACCACTCATTTGGGGGTTTGAGTATTTCTACGTGTGGGGAATTGGGGAAAGTTCATATTCCCCAATTTCCGGCAGCAAGCAGAATTGTAGAATTGTTTTCCTTGATTTTTAGGAATTTTATGGCTTAGGCGAATATCGACTACTTAACATACATAAATTGGCGAATTAACTTCGCAAAAATCTGGCAACATTGTTATGTACAGTTACATACACTGCTTTATCTATACACATTATATAAGTTCTCTACGATGTGTACAGGAACCGCATGTTACGACACTGGCGAAATAGCGGCAAGAAATATAGTAGATTGTACAACAAGTGCATATAACGCGTTATGTTTTCCGAGACGAGTATATCCGAGTGGATACTTAAGTCGAGGGTAAAATGGGTTTTATGAACGAGTTATTCACTCTGCTTTTCACTTGGATTGCGAGGAAATTAAACAGCAATATTACTAATAAACGATTATTTAATTAAAATTGAATTACAACAATTAGAAATATAACACGGATTAAAAAAAAGTAAAACTTTATTTTATAAAGTTCTAGTGTGCGTGGCTGTTGGCGCAGGCGTCATTGCCTCGGTCTTCAATGACGATTTTATTTTATACACTAGAGCATAAAATCCTATTTTATGCACTAGAGCATAAAATCCTATTTTATGCACTAGAGCATAAAATCCTATTTTATGCACTAGAGCATCAAATCCTATTTTATGCACTAGAACATAAAATCCTATTTTATGCAGCCCACACTTTAAGAGTATGAGAAGTGAAAATAACTTTTCTCACGCATGTCACACAACCGTAGTTTTTATTTAATTCATAGACAAACTAGAGTCGGCCCCAACTATCATATCGTTCGATATCAAGTAACGTGTGAAATTTGTCAAAATTGTTTGGTATTGACATTGACTTACAAATAAATGGACGACGGGTCTAATACAAAAACCACGAAAAAAATGTCCCAAGTCAACCTATTCGAAATTTAAATTGTTATGTCATCGCAGTATCGCGCTGTCCCTAGAACAAATAAAGACTAAAGCGGAGTGTCGCGCTCTGTATACGATTTTAGCGCCTTACAAGTGCGGACACTTTTTAGCGCGGACCCGACGTCCATATAATTGTAAGTCAATGGGTATTGACATTTCTTTTCGAATAAAACTTCATCTCGACTGATATAGGAATTGAAGTCGAATCAAATTGGTTTTGTTTTCCAGAGAAGTTCGAAATTTGAATGTAATAATAAAATCGAATTCGATGTTAATAATGCAATAATAGCATTTTCATAGATAAGAAATTTGTTCTAACAAAACAGTTTATGTCGGTCGTAATTTGCGGTTTTTGAACATATCGTAAAGGGTTTATGATATGTGCGTATATAAATACATATAATGCTTTTCTCTTTTCTGCGAATTCATTTTAAAGGAAATTCATAAAACGGTCAATATATGGCACTGTATGTAGTCACAATTGTAATTTATTATAATTTGTTTTCAGTATACAGTTAAATAAATCACAGATCACAGCTAGAACGGTCCACTAGTCTTCTCCCTTTGTTTAGTTACAAATAGTACTATATAATGAGACAATAATGGGCGTTGTGAACTCTTATTATTGAAAATACGAAAATAATGGGCCTTCAACGTTTTAAATCTAACACTAACATTTCTCAGGATGTTAGTGACAGATTTAACAATATTCTTACCGATAAAATCAAATAGGAATATAATGCAAACGCTTGTCATTGGAATATAAACAAAAGCTTGAAAAATAATATTTTTTTACTCATTTTGTATACCCATACTTAAATTCGTTTATGAAAGAGATTTGTTAAACAAATTAAATTAAAAACTAAGTGAACTATGACGATAGTTGATTGTAGTGACGATAACAAAATTGACATAAAATTGTTACGTAAAAAAATACAAAATGTGTAAAATATTACATTAAGAGTCAAAGCAGATTAAAACACATCGTTTTTTTTTGTTACAGAAAGAGTTAATATGGATAGCAGCAGTTTTGGGAACTTATTGCTTGAAAGAGGCCATGTTCTATTGGAGTAGACATCGCAATTCATAGTGTTAAGTGATGAACAAAGGGCCACAATAGCCACAATGCTAGCCGACGACGACACACGACGCCTCAATGAGACTTTTGCGAACAACACGTTTAATATTTTGGAGGATCCACGTTTGACGTCACTTTTAACAAACAGAGGGAACAACCACACGAGTCTTGAAGAGCTCCTTCAAGTGTTGGAGAGTTATAGAAATAAATATAACATTTCTGTGAAGAAGGAATGTCAGTTGTCGGAATATTGTTCAGGAGAGTTCAGAGATTTGATACTTGCGTACAACAATGTTCATGGATACGTGAGTTTATTGGTAAGTCAAAAAGTTTTTGTGCAGTTGTCAAAGTTCTGTTTACTTCAGAATCTAATATAAAATCATATAGGCAGGAATAGTATTGTCCACATTGACCTACTATGCACTAGCACTAGCAGGGATCTAACAGAATCGGTCATTCTTATAAATAACACGTAATCGTGAGTAAAGCCCGATTATGGGGACGTATAAGTGGGTTATAATAATGGGTCCTGGATATTGCCGCGAAGGGTTTTTCGCGTCATAAAAATGTCACTCATCGACTTCATCTTCGTTGGGTCAGAAAGATCAAAATTCAAACTTAATAAACGATCCGAATTTTTATGAGCGCTGACGCACCAAAGCTGAATTCCTTAAAAAACAACCTCATTTCGTTTTCTGAATGTGTGTGTGAAGTGTCTAAATTGAATTTTAATGCGAATTTGTTGTTTTGTTGTTGGGTTATTCATTTTAAAACTTTCAAATTTGGTCGAACCCCACAATGAATTTCTTGTTTTGAAAATAATTATGATTGTAATGTTTGAAGTTGAGAATTAATTCTCAACTTCAAAGTTAAATAAAAACTTTGTTCGGGATTTATTTCTTCTTCTTCTTCTTCTTGTCGGGTCTTCGCGGGTGCAGCTGGTCGGATACAGTGGGCATGAGAGTGTGGGGGATTCAGGAACTCTATTTATTATTATTAATAATAATAAGATATTAAATTTATTCACAAGCACATTTATAATGAAAAAGGTTTACCGTTAACAGTTTCGGAAATGTAGTGGAATTTAGTTCAAATGAAAAGGATGGAGCCTCAGCACTACATGCTGCTTTTCAGGTTCCACCTTCATACTTGAACATTCGCTGCTAACATTTATCTGACTTCACAAGAATGAAAAGGACAGTACCTAAAAACAAGTACTAACGGCACTAGAACAGGTTTTAACTTCCCACATACATTTAAATTGACTTACGTGACAAATAAATTAAGAAGAAACTTAAAACAAAACAAAGAAACGATTTGCTACGATTTAATGCAATCACGATAACAATTTAGTCCAGCAACATTGTAATTTCTGTACGTTGAGTAGCCACTGCTTACACTTTCTTTTGAAAGTGTGCAATGTCTGGCTAAGTTTAATTGGGGGTGGATTGTCATTCCACATTTAGACGAAGCAAACCGAAAGCTTTTTTTTGAAGGAGTGTAACCGAAGAAACGAGCGAAATTGTTACACTGGCTACCGCGTTGACCGAGTCTGATCTTTCACTCTGTGATTCCAGCACAATTTGTTCACTAAATACTGAGGTATATACCATAATGTTTCAAATTACGAGACAATTCAATTTTAATCTACGCCTATTGAACATATTTAATAGGATAAAAGAATTTAAAAAAGGAGTAATATGAGAGCATGGAGGGACTGGATGGCAAAATCCGACTCAAGAGTTACGAACCCGCTGAATCTTCCTCTCTATTTTCTTCAGTAAACAAGGCCGTAGACACTATGTCGCAATAATTCAAATTAGACAATACTAGGGCATCAGATAGTTTAACTCGTACAGACGTGTTTAAAAATGGTCTTAGCATATACAGCTGTTTTAGTAATGCATAACAAGTGGTAATTTTCCTACCGACATGTTGTTCAAATTTAAGTGTGCCATCCATTACGGGGCCTAAATCGCTCATATTAACAGACTCGTTAATTTGATGTCCCTCCATCATAAGTAACGGATTAACTTTATGCACTGACTCTTTTTGATGCCCAGTACCGATGACCATGTAAGAACACTTCCCATTATTTAGCAATAGTCTCTTTTTCACCATGTTGTCGCTACATCGACCAACTTGTGACCTGGGGGTCTACTCTCGATCTCCGTCCGACATCCGTCCGAAACAATTACTGCCAAATAAGCAATACTTGACCAAATGAAAAGACGCGTGATGCGAATGGAGCTTCATACTTGATACTTGGGGGTCTACCCCTGAGACGATTCAGGGATTTCCGTAACTTCTTGCTAAGCAACTGACGTTACTTTTTTAAAATAAGGGCGAAAATAAAAAAAAAATAGAAGTAAAGAAGTTAGGTGAGGTCGTTACTCATTGCATCAAATGAGGAAGTGATAGCAGAAACAGAGGCTTATTTTTCAGTTCGTAAAAAAAATATTTATGTTTTTGATGGGTTGAAGAAGTTGGAATGTCGTTAGGTCGAGGTGTATTGAATTAAAAGGAGATTCCGTAGAAAAATAATCCATAATTAAAAAAAATGTTTTTTGTTTTCTTCTCATAGTTACGGACTTTAATTTGACTCATTTATATTTACACGAAACATACCTGATTAGGTTACAAAAGTTCCGACCAATACGATGAAAATCGATAAGTGGGAAGAGTAGCCGTTATATTTGGTGGAGAAGAGATTTCGAAAGCAGTGTAATGCATAAGTTTTATGCTAATTTTGGTATTGCAAGGTATTTTTATTTTATTTTATTATTTTTTTATTTAATTGTTATTTTATTTTATTTTTATTTATTATTACGATTCTTCCTAAAACGTCAATGTTTGTGTGGTTTAGTTTACACGGCGACTTATAGCAGCGGTGTAAACGCGCGTTCGTGAAACACGCGATTTCATCGCTATACTTGCGATTTATATACGATTGCATCGATGCAAAAGCACGACTGCATCGATACAAAAGCATGATTACATCGATGCAATCCCCTATGAATCCCAAGTGTAGCGATGCAATTGCACGTTTGCATCGACTCAGTTGCGCGCTTCCTTCGTGTTTAAAATCTCGCGCGTGTGTAAAGGTCGACGATTAGTGACTGCATAACTACATCATCATCATCGCGTTTGCATCGCTGCTAAAAGCCGCCGTGTGTAACCGGCGTGTCATTAAAGATTACACTCAAGACAGTATAAATGTCTTTATACTTCACCAATTGAAATGTGATCTAATCCCGTCATTATCATCCCCAACTCGACTTCATCCATTGGACCTGGGCTTAGCCTAGGCCCACCAAGTAGTCTCACCCATTAATAATGATTTATGTGTCAATGATTAAGGATTCATTAATAATGTAATCATTAAAAATATATTTATGAATAAATGATTTAGCACACTATATACATACATGTGAAATCGACTAAAAACTTTTACTTCATTAATTGTTTAGTATTTATTTGGAGATATAAAGATGAGATTATCATAGATAAGGTTCCGTAAAGAACTCCCTAAAACTGAATTTGAATTATCGGCAGTAGTATTGTCATACACAAAGAACATTTTATATAAAGTTTAAAAAAGCGACCGATACATCTTAAGAAAGCTCTTGAAAATCCTCCATGAAATTTTTTATTGAATGTCAGAATGTTTCACTACCGTGATATTCAATTATTTTTTTGTGAAATTACTCCACTAGTTTCTTATATATCCTCTATTAATGCAAACTATAACGTGACATTTTATTGGTGGCTTTAAGATATGATAACACCTTTTAATAAGATTTTTTTATGAGGATCCATTCAAGTCACAAATAATAATTAGCTGTTCCATACGGTACTGTTCAAATTCTACTCGTTATTTCGAAACAGTTCATCGCTTTCTGTTGTTTTGTCCGTCGCGCTCTGTCGTGCCATCACTTCGCAAGCTTGGTTGCGTGTCCATTTCAGAACACCGGCTTTGTGTTTCTTAGTATTGCTTTACGCATGCTCAGTTGCGTGTTCTTTTCACAACGTCAGCTTTGTGTTTCTTTGCATTACTTTATGCTCCGATGTTGTTCTTGGTTTTGGTCGATATCAAACGTTGTTAACGAAGTCGGAGCTCTGACCCGGGGAGACTGCCTGTGTTCTCTTGAATCAGAGTATTCAGCTAAGGCAAGCACCAATTACTTAAGCCCCCCCTCTTTTTCTTCCCTTCACCTTATTCTCTCCAAAGTGTTTGGGTGGTAAGTCACTCGAAGTAACCTGTTCAGACGTAAGGCACTAAATCTCTCCGCTGTTTCTCCTTTTTGTCTGCCAAATTCCATTGGTAAATACTGTGGGACGCCCTGAAGTTACATGGATAGGCAATTCTCTTTCAATGACTATGTCAAACTGTCCATGACTATATAACAACTCCTCAATAAATATAAATACAAATGTATTCTGTATAAGCATTTAACTTAAATACATTAACCTTATTAAATAACCTTTTACTTACATACATATGTGCGCAAACAGTCAAATGAGTCGTGACTATCGCAAACAGTCAAATTATTGCATGTTTGTATAATTAAAATTAAGGTTAGTAGTGCAAGCTAATCTAGGTGATACCTTAACGAAATAAAATTGTTTACTTGCATCTCGATTATCCAAATCAGTGATTATAATCAATGATTAGTCAACATATTTTGTTCAATGACAATGAATTGTAATAAAACATGAATACTTAATTACATTTGCTAGCACCTAACTATTATTAATATTACGTAACAAAAGATGTTAAATGTTCAGTGTCATTGTGGTTTAATCCTTTTAAACAGTCTTGTGTGGTTTTCTTACATTGAAACTTATTCAAAGGATATGTAAAGAAGGAGGCAAACGAGCAGACAAGCCACTTGATGGGAGGTGGTTATTGTCGCCCTTGGACATTTGCAACATCAGATGAGCTGCCTATTCGTTGCCAGCCTTTGAGAGCCCTTTAACACGCTTTTTGAAGAACCCCATGTCATAGCGCAAAGGAAATAAGGAGCTAGATCATTCCACATCTTGCAGGTTCGAGGAAGGCACGAACGAGATGCCCGAGTGGTCTTACAATGCTAGGCATCTAAAATGTGGGGATGGACTCTACTCCTTTGGCGGGAGGTGTGATAGTAGAAACGAGACGGTGGCACCAGTTCGAAAAGTTCAAAAAGTTAGTAGTATGAACAACTGGCGTATTGAAAGTTCATCACATTTAGCAAGGAGTTCTGCTGCGGAAAAGTGAAAAGGTCGACATGTGCTGAGTTTCAGTATGGCTCTTAGTGCTATTTCTAAACTTTGCAAGGTTTTTTTATGGGTGCCTCTCAAAGTTGTTATACAGCATACAAACAACGACTGACAATGTGACCAATACACAGTTTTCAGCAGCTCAAAATATAATATTTTCAAAATATAAATTAATTTTCGTACTCTAACTGCAACAGTTTCAATATGAAGCCTAAATATTTCATTGGGTTTGTGCTACTAAATTTAGGACATATTATGTAGGTATTGAGTGTGTGCGCTACGTTCTGGAGAGTCAAAACAGTTATGCGCTAATATTAAATGTGAATTTGAAATCGGTTGGGAAAGCGAGTTATAGGAAAACGTCATGTATTTTGTTTTGTCAGTGTTAAAGGTGAGTAAAGGTCAGTTTTTCTAAGCCATTTACTGACAGTGTCAAAGCATTTGAGGTAATGTGAATGTGTCAGTCCAATTTTCAATACTGCATCGTAATATATTAAATAAACAGGGCTAGCTCTCGTTTAGGAATACGGTGATACTTTTTACTGCTTATATCTGACTTATGATTACTTTTTCAGTTATTAACTTAACTGTTTTGTTAACTGCTTCCGTGGTCGAACAATTTCATGGTGGTCTGCTACGCAGAGGAGAGGATTGATTCCCGGGCCAAGAGAAATATTCTTATGGCCTGAATTTATCTCTCGTGGGTTTGGGTACACCCAAATTACAATGTGTGGTTGTCTATGCGTGTGTCCTTAGCACCCGCGAATCAAGGTTTTTCTTAGTGCGGGGCTATTTACTTCTCCACAAAACATAGGAAACACAATATTTAAAAACTAATAGAAAATACAACTGAGTGTGGATAAAAAGGCATTCATTCAGTCTTTACCTGTAGCTAACTGTTCGCGTGTTGCGCCAATCTAATATGCGGAATGTAACCAAGTAAAACCTACCTTACGTAATAACTAATAATAAGTTAAAGTTTAAAGGCTTTAAAAGTTTAAATATTATTATTTTCGCAAGCGTCGTGTTCGCACAGCTAAATTCATAATATGAAGGCCATTCTAAGCAACAGATGCTCCATGCTAGCAACTACGAGTACATCCCCCTTCAGAGACGATGTCCTCTGCACTGGTAAGAATCGTCAAACAATGGGAGACAACCAACAACCATGCCCTCCATTATTCGCCACTGTACAGGCCCATTAAACCGCAATATATAGACACTTCACACACACCGTGTCACCGTCCTTACCGACGACTAGGCGTTTTTCTTTTCGCGATTTTACGGACCGTTGTAAATAAAAGTTGTTCATATTAATAAGTACTATAACGGACAATAATAAATCGTCATCATTTACAACCCCGCAGGTCTGTCTGTTCGGCAGTTTAGCGAACGCTCTGAACGTAGCTGTTTTAACCCGACGAGATTTAGCTTCGGCACCTATCAACAGACTTTTGAAGTGGCTCGCTGTAGCCGATATCTTCGTCATGCTAGAGTATGTGCCATTCGCTATCTATAGGTACTTGGTAAGTTTCAAGATTTGTCACTTCTTTCTGTAGTTAAGCATGTAATGTGAAAAAATGTGTATTTCAAAGAGGAACCTCTAGAGTTTCTTGTCTGTTCCTCTCAGGGGAATCTGCCTTACAAATAAATATTTGTGTTCCATCATTTCGATTAGAAACGTTTTGATTTGTATTGTGTTCAAAATTGCAAAGACTAGCGAACAAAACCTTTAAATAAAATTTGTAAGTAACAGAAATTACTTAGTGCGTTTACATTTTTTTATTTATTCGAAGGGACTTTAAAAAGTTACTCCGTACCAATGTGTGCGTTTATGAACGAGTAGGCTACAAAATTATATCCTTAATCTAATCCCAAGAAATAAGACAGTTCTGTTCGCTTTATATTTTTTTCTTTCAATACCGAAAACAAATGGATGAGTGCAATGAACGTTAAACATTCTTTTATGTTTACGATATTATTACCTTATTTTTTATTCGCTAGAGAGCTTGAAACTCAATTCGCAATTGTAATCGACGTTTCTATAAATAACTATTTATACTCACAACAGAAACTTTTATGAAGCGTATTTAAATACGACTGATATTATCAAAATATATAATGTACAATATATCATAACCAACGATCTGTACCCTTCTGTATTTCTGCCGCCAAGCAGCAATATGAGCATTACTACGTTTCGGTTTTGAAGAGAAAGTGTGTTGGTGAAATTACATTCACATTGGACTTATCAACTTATGTCTCAGGATGACGGACGCAGTGGCAGTGCTCCTCAAATATCTGTGATTTAAAATTTCTGAATAGCACTGCAACTGTTATGACAGGCGTGTCGATTACTACCACGCGCACGACTTGTTCGCCCCGATACTTGGTGTAGTAAACCAAAAAACTTGCATATGGTTCCTAATGGCGTTAGCCAAAGATTAACGACCTCCCCTTGTTTTGTTCCTGACACACCTTTTTCGCTTTCTCCATACACATCAGTCTTTTCACACTCTCTCAATTATTCTTGGTACTTTTGATCAGGCGTTTTTTGCGGACCTTCTTAATCTGGTTAAAGTAAGAACGCCGATATGAACCTTTTCAATAGCAAATTGTACTACCGATTATGGAAATTGAACCTTATTTGTGATTATTGCGGGTTGTAGCCCAAATTTTTCTAAAAATAAATTCAAACTCAAGTTACTTATTTTGAAAGGGCTACACGAAAATAAACAAAGATGTACTCAGTTCGAAACTTTGTTTGGTTTAAAAAAAAAACGAGATTTCGAACTGAAAAAAACTTTCATTTCCAATCAAGCAATCGCAAGAACTAAGAATTAGATATGGTAATTTATTATAAAAAATGTGAATATGCAGCATCAAAGTGATTTTTTTCACAAAGTAAATAATAACCCCATAAGTACTAAATGAAAGACCTAATGAAGGGAAAATTAGCACTATCCCTCAAAAGAAAGCTCAAAGACGTGCGTTCAAACTTGGTCTTTGACAAATCGTCAAAAGTTTGCATTAGGGGTTTGTCAGCGAGGCATGGAGCGCAGTAAGCTTGAAAGTAAAATTGTAAGACCGCGTGCGAAACAGCATACTGCGCTCCAAAACACAAATTATTGACATTGGTCATAAAGCCGCGAGCTTAAAATGGAACTGGTTCCGACACGTCTGCCGAGTCTGTCCAACGAGCTGTGGGCAAAGTCCACCACGTAGTAGATCCCACCAAACGCAAGGCGAAGTCGTGGAAGACCCAGAACAGAATTGGATGCGTATATGAAGGTCTTGGTCCGTAGCGGCGTTAAATCGTGAAGAGTGGAAAAAGAGAAGGGAGGCCTTCGCCTTGCAGTGGGACAATATTAGCTGAAAAATGAAATTAAATGAAAATAATAACCGATAAATTTTTGTAACTTATAGTCACAAATATCAAGTGACCCATATTTCGTTTTGATGAAAATAATGTTAAAATATAATGTTCTAATCCTGTACAATACTCGATTTTCAACTTGTAATATTGAGTTCCTGACTCCAGACAATTGAAACCACTGACCTCGGAATTCTAAAGTTCACTTCAATCGGCGACATTTGACGCGTTTGAATAGAACGCTTGGTATTTCTGAAATTTTACTAATATGGCACAAAGAGCATAACTCTACAACATATTGGTAATAATTTTTGTTGCTGAAAAAATGATTAAGCGGATGTTTGTAAAATACTAACGACCTCACAGGACCATGTTACTAACATCATAAACAACAACTCTTGTTTCAACAACGGTATGGCAAAGGCGCTAATTCGAGTACAGCGGGATCGAAGAAATTTTTATTTGTGTTACCCTTTGTATTGATAATTATAATAGACTAGAATAATTAAATATTATGGTTGTAAAACATCGTGATATTTAATGAACTTAATAAAACATAATAAATTTGCTTTAAAATAAATTTAAATTTATTAAGTAGCAGTAGAGCTCCTTGTGAAAGAGTTCGTCCAGGGAAGTACTGCCACCTTACCTATTTCTGCCGCCAAGCAGTAATGTGATTATGTGAGCATTATTACTAAGTTCCGGTTTTGAAGGGTAAGGGTGCTGGTGAAATTACAGGCACATGGGACTTTCAACTTATGTCTCAGGGTGATGGGCGCCGAGGCAGTGCACCTCAGATCTTTGCGATTTAAAGCTCTGAGTGGCACTGCAACTGTTATGGATAGGCGTGTCGTTTACCATCAGGTGCACGACTTGTTCGTCCCATCACTTAGTATCATACAAAAAAACAAAAATAAACTTTTAACTTTATGTCGTACTATCTGACACTTTTTAGATCTGTTGATGGTAACACCAAATTTCGTCATTTGAATTGGTCGAGCGGCTTGTTATATCGGCTGCTAGTTACAATACCCGTGGTTCGATTTCACGAGCACTGTTTTGTTTTAACGTTATATTTTTAACAGCATTGTTTCAATTTTTAATGTTAACGTTGACAAATCACAATATTTGTTCATTAGCAATTGCCTAAGGTGGGTGGGTAGATATTATTAATAAAGCGTACGGAGGGTGTGGACAGATTAACAGATCACGAAATTGCTCTGCAGTTTGCATACGATTATGTCTCTGTGATTACGCTTTGTTCAACGTTTCAATCCTATTTGTCTGTTCAGTTTTAATTACTTTCAAGGTTTTAGTGCCTTCCAAAGTTTTCTTTTTTGTTTTAGTATGTCGCACTTAACGGAATTATTAAAATTTGAAATTATTGTTCTGTATGAATAAGACTTTTTTTAATTTGTTCAATTTCAAACAAATTAGACAAATGACCTGCAAGACACGCGCTTGTTTCTATAAACATCTCCCATCATCAACGCCTATGCGTCATCGAGAGTCAAAGTACTATTTTCTAAAAGTCTTTGACGTATATTTGACGATGATGGTCCGGCAATAAATGCTTCCCTAAATTCATTGCAATTTTCCCTTATACTTAGACATTGCTTACACCTATCCCGACGTTAAAAACAAAAAAAAACAATATTATATAGCTATATAATATTTTATTTTTAAAGTGACTTGACTCGATTTGCAAAGCAATCCTTATACCGTTTGGACACGACGACGTTACTAAAGTTGGTTGAAATTTGTGTTCTGTATTTAAGTCAGAACCATACGTTAAAGATCAAATTGGTTTAAAAACTTTCTTAAAATATCATTCACTAATAAGACCAGGGAGTCATACTAAAATAAATTTTACGGCTCACAGGTTAAAAGATTAAGTTTGTTTAACAATTTTCTCCACATTTTTGTGCTCAGAACCAAAAGTTTGACAAAGACGGCTTGGGGGGTCAGGTATCTTTTGTATATGAATGTACCCTAAAGAGTTACCACCGTTTAAAGCGATCCTTTGAAATATTTTTATTTTTGGATGCAAAGTGTAATGAATTATTAAAAGTCCTGTAACAAAAGTTATTGTTTATGATGTTAGTAATACAGTCCTGCGAGCTTGTTATTTTGCAAATAACCCTGTATAGGTGAGTAAATTACACCTTAAATTGTCAAATTGATTAAACAATACCATTCATTTGTAAGGCAGATTCTCGCAAGAAGAGCAAGTAAGAAACTTCAGAGGTACTTTGTAAATAGATATTGTAATAATAATAACATTGTAAAATATATATCCAAACTAATAATAATAAAGGGCCAGAAAATCACACCAATTACCTCGTCTCATTCTCTGGAGTGCCAGTACTACGAGTCACTTGTGAAACGGAATCTGATATCATAGTGAATATGATAGTGATGTCTGATCACTATTGTATTACAAACCAGAACAAATGCGCGTTCATAGCGGGGTCGTTATACTTGTTCACATATACCATTTACAATATTTTTTTTTTTTAAATCACTGTTGGAAACAGTATCTGAAGTGAACGGATCACGTCTATGGACTTTCGTCATCTCAGTGAGCAGAAACCACAAGAATTTGTATAAAGTATTGGTTTCATATTAGTCTTAAATGACAAATTTCGAATATAAATGAGGATCTTATAATAGAAAGTGTAAATTAGTAATTTAGAATCCATAATTATTTGGCTTATTACATGTAATGAAACGGATCAACAGATTTTGTTAAGTCCCTTAGACAACACACGTTATTAGGGTGCCTACGTAATAAAATTAACGAACTTTTCATTACGAACTAGTCATTACTGGAAGTACTTATTTACTGACTCAAGAGATTAATTGTTATTCGGTTTAATTCCTTTAATGTTTGTTCTGAAAACCTTTTAAGAATCGAAGACCTCAGTTTTATTTAGTTGCATCAGGAAATAGTACATACTTCACAATAATTGGTAGTCTATATTTAGTAGCGATAGAGCTCCTTGTGTGTGGCACTGCAACTGTTATGGACAGGCGTGTAGCTTACTATCAGGCGCACGACTTGTTCGTCCCGTCACTTGATATTATAAAAAAAATATATCGTTATTTTATCATCTCCACATGGTTTACTCAAAATAATGTTAATTTTTTCACTAAGCGGCGTAGTTGAATATTGCTTTTCTTCTTGGTAGATTTTAAGTAACGTCACTTACCTAACACTAAAAAGCGGAAGCGTATGAGATGTTCAAACAACGAATAGCATTTCGTCATATTTACTATGCATTGTGGACATATCAAACATTACATACTTATATAAATTCTCTTCCCTTTGATGTCACATCAGAAGTAATTAGCAAATTTTTTGCCACTCAGAGCTTCACAAAGATCTGAGGGGACAGGCGCTGCGCCCGTCTACCGGAAACAAAAGTTGAGAACTCTCATGTGTATGTAATTTCGCAAGTACCCTTCAAAACCGATACGCATTAAAACTCACATTACTACTTGGCTGCAGAAATAAGTAAGATGGCAATACTTCCCTGGACGAATTCTTTCACAAGGAGCTTTACCGTTAGTAAAATTAAAATTATTGGCATTTTTTTAAACATATTTCTGAGCCGCTTTGGCATGATACTGAATCAAATACCGAAGTTGTGCTAGATTATTAAAATGTAGCTAGCCATATACCAAGTTCTGATCTGTGATTATAAAGTTTTAATCTGGTGGTAAAATTGTACTTTGTAAACTTTGTCCCTTCGTCTCCATTCTGCAATTACGCCTTTCAAATATATTTTATCTAGTTTCTTAGATACTTAGGGCGCTTCACTCGTAGAAGTGCTGCAGTGACTCGACTGTGGTGCTGCAGCTGCGCCACTGCTCATTTTCATACAATATTTACAAGCGCAGTCGCAACGCCACTGTCATGACGCGCGATTACAATAAGCGAAAAAAAAAATTACTAAAGCTCTACAGACGCACGACTGCCGTGCCACAGTCACGCCACTACAGAGCTTCTACAAGCATCTAATTTGAATACGCCTTTTATATATAACTTTATAATTTTTTTGTAACTTTATATTTATAAATAACTTTATCTTTGTCATCTTTATCTAATTTTTAAAATGTCAAGTGACGGGACGATCGAGTCGTACGCCTGATGGTAAACTACACGCCTGTCCATAACAGTTGCAGTGCCACTCAGAACTTTAAATCGCAAAGATCTGAGTGGCAATGCCACTGCGCCCGTCACCCTGAGACATTAGTTGACAAGTCCCATGTGCCTGTAATTTCACCAAAATCTTGTATCTGCTTTTTCTTGCTCTTGTCGTGGAGTTCTTGAATTTTTGGAAACTCTTGCAAAATAAAACTAGTTTTCGGATCTAAACCAATTTGAGTCAGCTGTAAATATAGATGTGTAAAGGGTCTAATAACGTTGGTTTATTTGAAAAAAAAAACCAAATGGATGTGATTTAGATCGAAAAATAGTTTCTTATCCAATGTGTAAGAATCGTGAATACCAAGTACTTAATTTTGGAAATTTTGTCTAGTATAATTATTTTCTCTCTCATAATTGAGGCTATCAGCGCAAAAGTGGCGAGCAAAACCTACATTTTTTTTCATACTAAAGTACATAATAATAAATAAATAAAAAATTTTATATATGAAAGTGGCATCAAAAATTAATTATGTAATTTAGTAACATTTAAAGTAATATTGTAGAATAAATATTGAACGTGAGTTACACCACTTTTGCGCTGACAGCCTCAATTATTGTTTTGTGTCGATACATGATTTACTCTTTTTTTGAGCAGCTCCTACCAGGTCAAGAAGAGCGACCGTTCTCCTGGGCAGTATACATGCTGTTTCACTCGCACTTCGCGCAGATCCTACACACAGCTTCCATCTTGCTGACTCTTTCACTCGCTGTCTGGAGATATATTGCAATCAAGTAAGTATCATTTACGCGATTGATTTTGTCGATTTGGGGGAATAGCCCATATTAATTTGAGTATTAGATGCGGTCTTTTTTAGGTAATATCCGCGTTTCTATATGTATAATCGCATCCTTAGTGTGATAAGGTCACAACTCCAAAATGACAACTTTTCAGGAGAGAGCTTTAAAGATTCTACGAACGAAATTAGACAACAACTTTTTTATGCTTAAGTAGGAATGTTATAAGATTTCACATTTTTTTTTCATGAATTTTAACGTGATAAAAGAAATTTTGACGTAAGTTCACATACGGCTTTTATACATACAGAGACGAAGCTGCAGAGCCATGAACACCGCCGTAAAGTTGCCTGCTTATCGGTATTCTACAGGATATGTCACGGAAAGTGTGCGATGGAGTTGCATAACTTGACTCCTTCCCCTTTCCATCATCGGGGGACTAGACGTGGGCTGGGATTCCACACCTATATTGTGGATATTCCCAGGATTCGCATGAACCATTTCGCTTTCACATTAATATGGCGAGCGGCTAGAGAGTGGAATTCCCTACTTGCGTACTTACTTGTTACTTCCCTACAAATTCCTGGAACGCTATAACTTGAACGTTTTCAAGGCGAGAGTGAATAGGCATTACTAAGGTGTGCATGCTACATCGTCGACCTCATCATCACTTTTCATCATGAGCTCAGATGGAGGTCAAATGCGCACTTATTTTTTATAAAAAAAAAATTGATATCGAGTTCTTAGGTTTTCGCGATTGTTACACATAGGAAATGAAACTATTTTTTTACATATAAATCGCGTATATTTGTTTTTTCAAACAAACCGACGTTTCGGCCATTTACAGGTCCCGTGGTCACGGTTGACTGAGGTGGTACTGTTAATTGTGGTGGTATTCATTAATAACTATTGTAACTATAGTGAAAAAATAGGATGGTTTGCATTAATATTAGGGGTTAAAGTATGAAATTGCCGTTTTATTGTAATAGGTTCTTTGAATTTTCATAGAATCTTCATGGTTTGAGGTTTTCGAATGAAACTTTTTTCAAATGGTTTCTGTGATTTTTTTTTTTTAATTTGAAACATTTGAATATCGACTTTCAATTGTTTTTGTTATTCAATTTAGACAAGAAAGATGGATACTGCGAAAATTCGAGTGATTTTTGAATACGAGTTCCGACGCGGAACTAACGCGGCAGAAACAGCCCGCAATATCAATGCTGCGTTTGGAGAGGGGTCTACTAATGAACGCACCGTGCGATTTTGGTTTAAACGCTTTCGTGATGGAAATTTCGACTTAAAGAACGAGCCACGAGGAAGACCGCCCAAGACACAGGTGAATAACGATGAATTAAGAGAGATAGTGGAAGCCGATCCTAGTCAAACTACCCAGGAATTAGCGGCATGGTTTAACGTTACCTTACCCACAATATTGACTCACTTGCGTCAAATCAATAAAATAAAAAAATACCAAAAATGGGTGCCTCATGATTTGACTGATCTGCAGAAAGAAACGCGTGTTGAAACTTGTGTTGCCTTGTTGAACCGGTACAGAAATGAAGGAATATTGGATCGAATTGTAACATGTGATGAAAAGTGGATTCTTTATGATAACCGGAAAAGAAAAATGCAATGGCTGACCCCAGGTCAAATGCCACAACAGTGTCCTAAAGCAAAACTTACCAATAAAAAGGTAATGGTAACTGTTTGGTGGTCTCAGCATGGTGTTATTCACTATAGTTTTCTCCGATCTGGTCAAGCAATAACGGCAGATGTCTATTGTGCCGAACTCCGAACCATGTTGACAAAACTAGCAGTAAAACAGCCCCGACTCATGAATCGATCTTCACCATTATTGCTCCACGACAACGCGAGACCTCACACAGCACGAGAAACCATTTTGACCCTTCAGGAACTGCAGTTAGAAACCATTCGTCATCCTCCGTATTCACCAGACCTTGCTCCAACGGACTACCATTTTTTTCGTGATTTGGACAATTATCTACGTGACAAGAAGTTTTCTTCCCAGGAGGCAGTACAAAATGCTTTCACACAGTTTGTGCAGTCTAGATCGTCGGAGTTCTATCGCAAAGGCATTAATAACCTTCCCATTAGATGGCAGCAATGTATAGATAATAATGGCAACTATTTTGATTAAATAAATTTGTTAAAAATTTAAAAAATAAACAATTTAGATTTTCAGTACAAATCGGCAATTTCATACTTTAACCCCTATTATTAGACATATCGTAACTGGTTGAAGACTACCGTCGTCGGTTTGTTTGAAAAAACAAATATACGCGATTTATATGTAAAAAAAAAGTTTCATTTCCTATAAATTGATATCATTAATTTACTTTGTGGATTAGGACTTCAACTATCAAATATCAAGAGATATTAAGTCACAGACGAGAGTAAATATGATTCTTTATTGCAATTATATACCTCTGTAACACCATGAATATCGTATATGAATATGGTAAATAAACAAGTTTACTCGTGACTAAAGGAAAACAGGTTCCCCTTCAACCGCAAGTGAAATTTTGCGTTGAAACTGAAGCAAGACTTTTGAATATGACGACAAAGGAAATATTATGAGCGACAAGCATGCTTTATGCCTTTTCAAAGTTCAAAAGGAATTTGACATTTTACGAGAAACTGAAGTGCGATACCACATAACGATAATTTTGATGAACAAATGACTTTACTCTAGAGCCCACTTCACAGTAGCATTCGTAAATATGCACTTGGTTACGTTACGTCAAAGGTTGGAGTGCAATTAAAAGGAAGCGGTTAAGTTCAAACAAAGTTAGGACAGAAAGATTTTCAATCTTGCTATTTCTATTCATAGAACTGTCGTATGTATTATGAAGTGGTTGTTATATTTTTTGACTAATTACAAATAACGTTGCCAGGTACCGAGTCGCGAAGCCCCATGCTTCCTCGTTGACATTCGGTAAAATGATTTTTCTGTTAAATTAAGCTTAGTAGCAGTAGAGCTCCTTGTCAAAGAGTTCGTCCAGAGAAGTACTGCCACCTTATCGATTTCTGCCGCCAAGCGGTAATTTGAGCATTACTGCGTTCTAGTTTGGAAGGGTAAGTATTGGTGAAATTACAGGCACATGGGACTTGTCAACTTACGTCTCAGGGTGACGGGCGCAGTGGCAGTGCCTCTAAGATCTTTGCGATTTGAAGCTCTGAGTGGCACTGCAACTGTTAGTGGTTAACACAGGTGTGTAGTTTACCACCACGGTAACACTTGTTCGTCCCGTCACTTGACATTATTAAAAAAAAGTTTTATTTTTATATTTTTTACCACATAAACACTTGTTTACTTTTTTTACATTAGGGTTTTAGAAATAATTATGCAGGGCCTTAAAACTTTTTTCTCATATTTTAACACATTTCAACACCTTTTTCTAATTCTTGTACGAAGTGATGAACAGCTGATGCATATTTATATTTTTAGTAGAAAGTTTTTTAATGCTAAGAACTCGGTGTTAAGAGGTTTTGTTTTACGGATTATTCAGGGCATGGAAAAAAGTCTTGTATTTAGAAAACAACATGTACCACCGTCTTGCACGTGATTCTTTTCACCACTTAAAGATTTCATTTACGTAGCGCAATGTATACATTATATTATTATTATTGTATAATGTACATTATCTTTTCGGAATTGTTTAGTAAATTCCAGTTTATTACTCTTCAAAGAATTACAAAATGTGAGTACAACATACCATTTATTGGAAGCTAATTCATTTTAAACCATGTCATACTGTTTAGAATACATAAATATATCGCTACAGCATTGGTAGGTATTGACCTAGCCATTGGCCTACAACATTTAAAATTCATCCACTTTGATTGGTTCGAACTAGAACTTAGTTTTCCAAGCAATCGAGGACATTGAGTTCGTAAACTAACGAGCATTATATAAATTTTAAATGTAGTATTAAATGTCATATGTCGCAGTTCGTAAGTTTAAATAAAGTGTTTTATATGTATGTTAGGCGTACTAACATAATCTTTGTAATCTGGGAATAAATACTTAAATTAAAAAAAAAGAATAAATAAATATGGAAAACTGCAGATATTGAGTTCTTAGGTTTTCGCCATTGTTGCACATTGAAAATGAAACTATTATTTTTGGTTTAAATATATTTGTATTTTTTTTCAAATAAAAATTTCGTTGTTATAAAAAACTAATCAAACCCTTGGTGTAATAAGACCGCATCTGTAAAATGACAAATTTTTATGTGAGAGGCTTTAAGGTTCTATCGAATAGACAGCTTTATTTTGTCGATACGTTTTTATGATTAAATACGACCGCAGTTATAAAAATTCACTTTAATATAATTTGTTTCGTGTAGTTCCTATTATTTTTACAAATTTCTTGTATAAAAGCACTTTTGACGTATGATCACATGTGACATTATTATGGGTAAGAAATATACGTATTAAACGTGGTTTAGATCCGAAAAAAATACACATATCAAAAGTGTCTAGGGATCAAGCTCGATTTTGCCAATTTTTAAAAATCAGTCAAATTTTTTTTTCGTTTTTTTTAACACCGGTGGAATTCTTTGGTCTTCATTTTGTAATTTGAATTTGAGAATGTAATTAATCAAAAAAATTAATTGATAAATCTAATTTTTGTTAATTAGCTGAAACGTGTTTTGATCCTTAGACACTTTTGATGTGTGCAGTTTGGTTTCCTATGACAATATAGATTTTTTTAAATTTTATACGTGGCAATATGTCCAAATTCTACTTATTGATATGTAAAATAATAGTAGTTGTATTTTCTGCGTTATTTTTTTAATTAAATGTATTAGTTAATACAAAACACACGAATTTCGCCATTTATTATTGAGGTTACGATGAATCAGTTTTATTGAGCACTAGCTGGTGCCCGCGACTTCGTCTGCGTAGAATGAAGTACTTCGAGTAACCTACTGTACTACTTACTTGAGAAATGATTGGCTCTCCATAGAAAC